CTGTTACAATGTAGTATCAGTTCATAACTACTTTCTCAACCTACTGAAACACAAAGAGTCAATACTGCCCCCACTGGGGCTCGAACCCATGACCTCCCATTTGGGAGAGCCACCTCATGCCACTAGACCACACGGCAGTGTTGCAAAAATCGCGAAAATCGGCGCCTAGACGCTAGGCGGTCGACCTCCTAGGCGCTCTAGGCGGCCCCAGGCGCCTAGCGATTTTTTCAACATTGTCACACGGTCATTGGCAAGTATGGGTTAGCTTGTCTGAGTATAAGGCGATTGAATTCCATCGAGAATTACAAAATAAGGTTTCGTGCACTCGAGTGATGGAGGAATAACGAGGGCATACCTCTCCCGACGGAACTTTGGTGCCCTGTTTCACAAGGGCACCCGCAGCAACCATCGCATGTTTCTCCACATGTACATCATCAAGCAAAATGGCTCCCATGCCAACGAAGGCCTCATCATCAACGGTGCAGGCATGTATAACAGCACTGTGGCCTGTGGCTTTTTAAGTCATCATCGATAAATTTGGGAAGATACGGGCAATAAGATTGGCCTGGAACACTTACCGATGGTGACATTGTCCCCAATAATTGTCGGTAGCTCCTTTCCGCACAATTTTGATTTTTCTACGACAACAAGGGAGTTATCCTGTATATTGGTTCCAGATCCCACGTGTATGCTGTTTACATCACCTGTATATAGAAGGAAACAATCAACCGAATGACAAATAACAATAACATAGTTTCAAAGGGTAGTCACATTAAATGTTGTACAAGATAATTCTCGTTTATGTGAATTGAAACGGCGTAGAGTTGTTAGACAGTGTTGGTAATCACGTACCTCTCAGAACACATCCATACCAAATAGAGGAATTTTTCCCCACCAGAACATCGCCAATTATTGAGGCACCTGGTGCTACAAATGCATCTTTATCAACAACCGGGGATTTATCAAATATGCCCATCAGTGTTCGGTGCCTAGACACTAAACAACATAAAGAATGTCAATAACTAAACATTACTTGGAACCAAACAAGCTAAGTAACAAATCTAATGATGAGGGAAACTCACAACCACTTCCCGAGGGTATGCACCGGGTAAACCCCACCTTGTGATCCCAGCCGACAAAGGACTACAATGAAGTAAACCAACCTAGGTAACCCATAGCTGATCGGCTCAAACCAAGAAGGCTAATAGGCCGCTCTCACTAGAAGTCGCACTTGGAACCTTATGGTTACCGAGCTAACAGTTTGACCAGCTTGGTTAGGTGCCCTTGCAATTAGGATTGCGGCGACACCCAATACAATGAAAGTAAATAGGGAACTAATACAGAACCATCATATCTCTCCACCTCTCTTCCTCTGCAATTTCAAGATCTAACATTGCTTACAATCTCACATAGCACATAAACAATGTTTTACTGTTCCCACTTTCCAAATAAAATCCCCATATCCTTCACAGCTTTTTCTATAATCACATTGGTCACAGATTGTGTTCAGGATTCTAATATTCGCCATTTCATCCACAAATTGAGTTCTCCAAAACACCACTAATGAACCATGGATGTAATCTACCTAATCTCCTCATTATTACTTTCTAATAAAAATCAAAACTTTACAGTTACAGATTTTCCGGGCGTTAATTAAAAACGTAAAATTGAATCAGAAAAATGAAATTTCAGGAGAAATTCACCATACATGTTTCCTGTAAGTAGTAGCCGCCTTGCAGGCGGTTGCCGAAGCGATCAAGGGCTTGGCCGGAGCCTCGGATTAACGAGCCCAGTGTGTACACTGCTTTTCCCAAGCTTCCCATTTTGCCCTCCTCCTACTTCCTCTGTTCGACTGTTCCTCCTTGATCTTAATTAAGGTCTCTGGTTGTTGATGATCTCCGGGAAATGCCGCCCTGTCGTACAAAGCCCCGGGGGTCTTGGAAGGGCAATTTTGAGATTCGATTTTTTTTTTTTTTCTGAATATTTTATTTTTTGGATGAAGAGAAATTTTTTTTTTTGGAAATTTTTTTTTTAATGCTACTAGCTCTATTACAATGTAGTATCTGTTCATATATTTTTTTAACCTGAAACACAAAGAGTCAATAATGCCTCCACTGACAATCGTTATATCCTACACCACGGCGCACATAGCACTGTGCGCCGCGCGCCTCCCAAAACGACGTCGTTTTGGGATAGTGTTGGGAGGCGCGGTAGGAAGTTGCTGAGATTATGTGTATTTGTTCACAACGTTATGTGTATTTGTTCACAATGTTATGTGTATTGGTTCATACAGTTATGCGTATTTTTTATACAATTATGTACATTCTTTTTATACAATTATGTACATCCGAATCAGAAAATTTGTGTGTATTATGTTAAGAGTTGATGTGTATTATGTTAAAAGTTTATGTTTATTATGTATTATGTTAGATTATGTGTATTATCTTTTAAAAAGAGTATGTATATTTTGTTATATAATTATGTACATTCATGTATAACATTATGTGTATTCTAGTATAACATTATGTACATTCTTGAACAGCGGGTTTTTTTTAAAAGAAAAAACTACTGCCATTCACTGGGGCGGGAAATTTAAAAAAAATAATAATAATTAAAACGACGTCGTTTTGCATTTGGGTGCATAGTGCAACGCGCGCCGTGGTGTAGGATATAAATTGCCCTCCACTGAAGCTTAAACTCACAACCTTCCAAATGAAAGTCCAACCCGAATACTATTAGACCACATAGTCCTGGTTTTGGAAACCTTATTTAACTATATTAATTTGGTAAATTGTATTTATATTTAGAATAAGGATTAAATAGGTCCTAAAAAATGAACACAAATTGTAATTGGATTACCAAATTAAAAAAGAAAATTGTAATTGAATCCTTAAACAACAAAAAATATATAATTTAATTGGAAATGATTTGTTTACTCGTTAATTACTAGCGTTACAGTTACCGAATTAAAAATAAATTTTTAAAATTTTATTTTACATAGAGTTAATTCCAGTAATGATCCTCCGACTGTATTGATTTTTCAAAATTAGTCATCGACTTTTAATTTGGATACTTTATGTCCTTTGACTTTCAATTTCTTTCCAATTGAGATCCTTTCGTTAGATTACGATAAATTGGACTTTAAATGAAAGGGTAATGTAGTCATTTCATCTGCCTAATGTATAATACTTCGTATTTCTCCATTGTATCCGCGACTTCGGTCATCAGATTCACTTAATTGCTTAATCTCTAAATCCACTCGAAGAACAAAATTCCATTAGGAATTAAGCAATTAAGTGAATCTGATGCCCGAAGTTGCGTATACAATGAAGAAATACGAAGAATTATACATTAGGCAGATAAACTGACTATTTTACTCTTTCATTTAAAGTCCATTTTACCGTAATATAACGAAAGGACTTTAATTGGAAAGAAATTAAAAGTCAAGGGATGTAAAGTATCCAAATTAAAAGTCAGGGACTAATTTTGAAAAATAAATATAATCGGCGGATCATTGCTAGAAGAGTAAATACCCAAAATGGTCCCTCAACCATAGCTAAATTCACAAATTGATCATCGACTTTCAATTTCAACCAATTAAGTCCTTAACTTTGCAATTTTAACACGATTTAGTCCCTAACACTTCTGCATTAACGCCGGCGCCTGCGCCGTCATCGACGATCTCCAAAAATACCCGCAGCTCTCACCGGAGCACATAGAGGCCTCCAAGATGACTCTGCACCGGTTCGGAAACACGTTCTCTTCTTCACTCTGGTACGAACTCAACTACATTGAATCCAAATGGATGATGAAGAAAGGCGACAGGATTTGACAGATTGCTTTCGGCGGTGGATTCAAATGTAACAGTGCGGTCTGAAAATGCAACCGGAACTTTAAAAAATCGACGATGGACCATGAAATTACATATATATCCTCAAAAATCACAGTCAACAAATAGTCAAATAAACGGAGGATCAAATCGTGTTAAAATTACAAAGTTAATGACTTAATTGGTTAAAATTGAAAGGAGAAAATTACCGATTTGGTCCCTCGACTATGAGGATTTCACCAATTTGGTCCTCGACTATCAAAATTACTCAATTTGGTCCTCGACTATGACATTTTTACCTGATTTGGTCCTAAGTGTTATTTGCAGGTCAAACCTAAAAGGCAATTTTGGGATTTTAAAAAAGTATCTTCCTTCTCATTCACTAAATCTAAGTCGTTTGTTTTATATAAATAGGTTATTTGTTTTCGATAGCAGTCGCAACTTCAATATGCAACAAAAGTGCAGTGAATCATATTCGTCCAGCTATAAGAATCGAATGATGTTCGAAAATGGAGATGCTTATAGTTGGAATTTAAATGATGTTGGCACAAGGTAGCAAATTTTTGAACATCATTCGATTATATAGCTGGATGAAGATGATTCACGGCACTTTGGTTGCATATTGAAGCTGCGACTGCTATCGAAACAAGTAACCTATCTATATAAAACAAACGACTTAGATTTAGGGAAGAAGAAGGAAGATACTTTTTTTAAATCTCAAAATTGCCCTTTAGGTTTGACTTGCAAATAACACTTAGGACCAAATCAGGTAAAAATGTCATAGTCGAGGACCAAATTGAGTAATTTTGGTAGTCGAGGACCAAATTGGTGAAATCCTCATAGTCGAGGGACCAAATCGGTAATTTTCTCAAATTGAAAGTTAAGGACCAATTTGTGAATTTAGCTATAGTCGAGGGACCATTTTGGTAACTCTTGCTAGAATTAACTCTTTTACATATGTAATAAGTGTTATAAACTCAACTGAATTTGTGACAATTAATTTATTAAACACATTATTTTAGAATTGATTTTATATTGATTATTTCGAAATGAGCACTTAAATTGATTTATCAGTAAATTAAAATGTCACACCCCCTATGTTGGTGTGATATCTTTCCTGCTTGTTTGTTTTTCATGTATATACAAAAGTAAAATAAAATAAAGAATAAAAACGAAAATAAAACATTACAGAAAGGTCTTCTCCCGTTCTCCGTCACAATCTAGAAAGTGACAACGTGAAGAAATCTCTCAGAAAGCGGAAAGTGAAAAAACAAAACGAAAAGAAGTGTTTTAGTCCCAAATTTCTGAATCGGATCACCAAAATTTTGGGGCTCATAGCAAAGGTCTGTTTTTTTCTACTATCTATGCTTAATCAGTACGGCGTATGCTTCATCGTTTCTATAGATTCATAGCTTTTCCATCAAACTAATCTCACTCATAGCAAGCTATTTTCTTGCTGGTTAATGCTTGTTGGGTGTGATTTTCCATTTTTCGTCGATCGATAGTTTGATAGTCATGGAAACTTAATTGCTGTCGAATTTAGGGTTCTGAATGCAAAAATAGTTGTTTTTTACTTTATAATTTTAAATTCCCCAGTTTGGTTCTGAGATTTCAACAAAACCTTAAATGTATGTGTAAAAGGGCTTGTTTTGGATAGTTTGGTGTATGTATGTACTGAATATTTGGAGCTGGATATTCATTCATATGGTGTATTGCAGAAAGTTGTTAGCTTGAAAGTATGGAAGGAGTTAGGGTAGATGATCCTGGGCCACTGGCACCTCTAGTGAAGTGGAGAAGCGAGTTCTCTAGGATGTTTCGGTACTACCTGGATAGGTCTGCTCCTTATGTGGTTGAGAGGTGGATAGGAACACTAGCAGCTGCATCGATATATGTATTGCGAGTTTATTATGTTCGTGGGTTTCATATTATATCTTACGGGGTTGGAACCTATCTCTTGAATCTGCTGATTGGATTTCTGTCGCCCAAGTTTGATCCTGAGCTGGAAGCTCTTGACGGGCCTTCCTTGCACACTAGAGATAGTGATGATGAGTATAGACCATTTGTTCGACGTCTCCCTGAGTTTTTGTTGTGGTAAGTGTTGAGCTTATAGTCATTAATGTGCAATCAAACTATCAACTTAGGCTTTTAGTTGAGATGGAGCACATGCTTCAGTTGTAAGTTAATTACTGCTTACATTGCACTAACACTATGAGAAAGCTTTAAAATTCTTGCCTCATTGGGATTACTGTTCGACGTCTCCCTGAGTTTTTGTTGTGGTAAGTATTGAGCATATAATCATTAATGTGCAATCCAACTATCAACTTAGGCTTTTAGTTGAGATGGAGCACATGCTTCAGTTGTAAGTTAATTACTGCTTACATTGTACTAACACTACGAGAAAGCTTTAAAATTCTTGCTTCATTGGGATTACTGTTCGATGTCTCCCTGAGTTTGGGTTCACGGAGTGATGGATAGAGATGTTTAAACTAGACTACCTGAAAGGTTGATTGGTTTTTCCCGTTTTGTCATTTGATTTCAGGTATGCGACCACAAAGGCTTTCATCGTAGCTTTTTTTATGACCTTCTGTTCTGTATTTGACGTCCCAGTTTTCTGGCCAATACTACTTTGTTATTGGATTGTCCTTTTCATTCTCACCATGAAGCGTCAGATAACACACATGATTAAGTACAAGTATGTGCCTTTCAACTATGGGAAAACGGTAAGATCTCCCTTGCCATTAATGGTTTGCAGTGTTTGTCTTTGTATAATCGTATGAATCTTTTCGTTCCCTATGTTCAAATCTTTGGTCGTTTATTGTGCTTCCTCGAACTGGATGCTTAACAAAACATTCTTGAATTCTGACAGAGATACGATGATCAGAAGAAATCTGCTGCAAGTAGCAGTGGGTCACCGAGGGATTGAAGTTGCAGAAGTTATAGAAAGGTTTTTGTTCTTGTTTTGAGAATCATGTGCGTACATACTTTTGTTTCTGAAGTAAACTGTCTGTCTGTAAACAATGTGTATATTTTATTTTCACATGAAATTAAGGCAGATGTAGAGAGTAGACTCTGGCACAGATTATATAGTATTATGGAGCTCAGTGTTCTTCATGAAATTAAGCTTTTGATGGTTAATTGAGCCTAGTCTGAGTACTCAATGTTCGAAATTCGACTTGATTTAAAAAGGCGAAACTCGACTCTATATTTTTTTAGTTTGAACTCAATTCAACTTCAAATTATTCGAGCTTGATTTGAATAGGTTAAAAAAAAGTTTTTTTTCCTCATATTTTTTACACATAAACTATAATAATAAATATTTTAGAGAAAGGTGTCAAATTGCTCCCTAAAGTTATAAATAGTAGATTTAGTCAACCCTTTAAATTGACAAAAAAAAGTGTTTTTTTTTTTTTTTTTTTTTTGGGATCCAAATGAAGGTCAAGTCTGGTGTGTTACAAGTTACAACAGACACCCTCTCGAGATAGTCCTTACACACTGCAAAGCATTCGAGTTTACTAACAACGCATCCTCGACGCTGGAAGGGGGCTCCCCCGAATCCACTCACATGGTGTTGGAGTTTCGTGTTTGTTTTGCCAGAATATTTGACACCACATTTTGTTCTCGGCATAAATGTTGAAAAGATAACTCCTAGTTACGCTTCCAACTTAACTTTTACACTCTTCAATGATATTTCGCAGAGAGCCTCTAGGGGAAATCCCTCCCCCCCCCCTCCCCCGGGATCCACTCAATTGTCTTCCTCGTGTCACTTTGAACAATCACTCTTTTGAGACCCTTATCCCAAGTCCATTCAACTCCTTTAAAAATTGCCCAAACTTCTAATTCCCACATTTGTAGAGGGAGCACGATAGCTAAAACCACCACACCAATTGTCATACATGTCTCGGATCCCCCCAACACACAACCTGCTGAATTTGCACCATTGCTAACACTGCCATCAACATTTAAAGCTATCCAGCTTTCAGGAGGCTTCGTCCAAGTCAAATTAATATTGCTAACAATATTGTTGTTGTAGTACAACCTCTTCTCAGACTTGAATGCATTTCTGGTCTCAGTAATCTGCATATAGAGCCAAATGATCTTGTTTTTTTTTTTTTTATAATTAATCTCGATCTTTGTTGTTAAAGAAGTCATTCCTCCAAATCCACCAAAAAGTGTAATGGGCTTATTTATTACCTACTCAACCAAATTTCATTTGCATTTATGATTTTTTTTACCTGTTTAAGGAGTTGATTAGAACTTTTTTTCAGTTAAAGGACCCAATTTACTATTTATTTGACTTGGGGAGCCAATTGACACATTCATTGAATGATTCTGGCCTTGGTTGTAACTTTATTCAGGAGACTCAATTTAATATCTACTCGACTTGGGAGGTCAATTGATACATTCACTTAATGAATCGGGTCTCACATCATGACTCAGAGTAAATCACTATTACGTAACAGTCGTAACTTAGTAGCCTTTTAAGTGGTGAGAGGATCAACGTTTGGTGCCCATAAGAAATCCACCACTGTTTCGAATATAACTTTCACATTGCAAGTGACAAGTCTTACTCTTATATTACGGCTGATAGTCGCGATCCTGTGTGAATCTACCAGGTCAAATAGCTTAACCCGTCTCACACTCCAGGCGATTACTTCTCAAACTCACTCTCAATGTTTGAAACCGAACTCCGATCCATCTAACTTCATACAAGAAAATGATGTTTTTTTTTGTACTGTACGAGGCAATGTTTTCCACTTTTCCGAGGATTCCCTACCAACTATTGTGACAGTTTTTTTTTATACAAACCTGACCTGGTCGTCAAGGGACACGCCAGATGGATTCCCCATCATCATGAATACTCAATTGGTATAACCACCTCCACCAACCAAACACGCCCAAAACCATCCACAACTTCATCATCATCATAAGCACATTTGACTTTAATTTGCTTCATGTGCACATACATATTCCTCCTCGTCATCTTCTATATATAATTCTGTAGTTGTTCGGAATCCTGCGTTTTCATTAGACGATCACCGGCAAGTTGGCCGGCCGTGGAGAATATATATCAGAATGTTCATGTCTGTCTGAAAAAACGATGAGTTTCTGGAATCTACTGTTGTGCAAATGAGAGGAAGAGCTTTCGTTCTGATCCTGTGCTTCTGGGCTGTGCTCATGATTGTCACCCCTGCGCTTATCAAACTCTCGGCTACCGCAAAACTCAACGGAGAGTTCTACGTTGTCATTTCAGAAAGTAAGTAAGCGCCGTCAATCTTTGGGTATCCTTTTCTCTTTCAATCCAGTTTTCTTTAATTTGTAGCTCTGCGACAGACAAGACGAGGTTTGATTTTTATGATTCATGGAAATTCGTTTGTTGTTTTGCAGGTGAGGTGGACGGAGAAGCGAAAAACGACAAGGTTTTGGCGAGTTTGCTGTCCAGAAAGGCACTTGTAGCGGCGGTGCCTAGGAAAGCTCCGGCACCGGCGCCAGCGCCGGCGCCGGCAGAAGAAAAACGACATTTTTGGGGGGAAAAGCTCATGAATTTAAGGAGGTGAGATGTATGAGGTCATGGCGGCAGATTACTACGGCGGTGTATATATTGAATTGGGAATTTTCCATGATTATTGTAAATAGGTGCAGAGAGAATTCATGTTTCTGTAATAAGGGAGAAGTTAGTTGGTCGTTATTGTCTTCTTCTTCTCTAAGTTACAATGATGACATGGGATAGATGAAGTTTCATATCAGATCAATAATGTAATCATCATTCATCATATCCCACTGGTTTAATTTGTTCATGTATAGATGAACCCTAGTTTTGTTCTTTATCAAATTTGTCAAAATTAAATATCAAACTCCAATCACATAGGCACAATGTCAGAAATTCTATAAGTGCTAAATCAGGTAATAAATTTGAAAATTGAACATCCTTAAAGTAGAGTTCGAAACATTTATACGGGCCGAGACAATTCATATGGAAGATCAAATTAGTCAAACAATTGATTTGGTAATCATATAATTTCAAGTTTGACTTATTATGAAAAGTTATTTATTGACAAGTTTAATTATGTATGAAAACAATCTATTAATCTTCTTAATTAGTTTAAACTAGTCCTAAAATTTTTTACCAATAAATGTCACAAAATTAGTTTCGTCCAAAACTTAAAAGTTCCTCTTAAGCCAGTCTTCTTTGAGAGAGTTATTCTTGAATGGTTCCCACTCAAAATATTAAGATCTAGAGAAATTTTGTTAGAGATAATTAAACAGGAGAATAGTCACAGCAGTTCATTATATTGGCCAATACTGATATTACATATATATCCTTAAGAGTCTATAGCCAGCGATATATATTATATATAAACACATACATACCCATAACCCATATACATATTAGGGGCAAAAAAACCCCACTACTGAACTATATATATATATATATATATATATATATATATATATTAGCTAGGGGCAAAAAGAACCCCACTACTGAACTATATATAATTATATATATTAGCTAGGGGCAAAAAGAACCCCACTACTGAACTATATATAATTATATATATTAGCTAGGGGCAAAAAACCCCACGCGCGATTGAACCGACAACGGAAGATGAGCGGACTTATGCGCTAATTCCGGTACGATTGTTGGCGTCGGAGGTAGCCATGTTTGCTACATGAAACTGCGACACGTACTTGTAAATCCTTTCCGGCGCCGTCACCGGCGGCTCATTTAGATGTGCCCAGTTGCTACTTATCCACCTATACATACACGTACACAAATTAAAACACGTAATTTAAGTGAATTGAAATTTCTGGTGAAAAGATCGAGTTTGATTCCTCGTACCAGCCGTGTGTCCGGATAAGTTTGTCCAGGTTGGTTTCAGTGTCGTCGTCTCCGTCCAGAAACCGGTCCTTGGTACTAGGTAATGGCCCAGAGATCGATCTCCCGAATGTTTTCTTGTCGTCAGACGCCATTTTCTTAGGCGACAAGCTACCGGAAATGTCTCTGAGGTGTTCTTCCTCTTTTTGCCTCTTTGATCTCCAGTATGCATCGATTTCTTCCTTTGTCAGCGACCTATTTCTCTGCAACTTCACTGAAATTTTCAAGAAAAACATACAACAACCTTAATTATTACGTACTTTCAATTCCTTAACTAAAAGGTAAGAGGAGTTAAGTAATTAAAGTGAATCTCAAACAAAAACCTTACCAGATTCAGGATCAGAAAAAGGTGAACCCCAACCTGCCATGAGAGAACCCATCTTTTAAGTATATATCTAAGATAAACAGTGTCTCAGAGTCTGATCAGTAGCCAAGAACTTCTGCAGATCCTAAGATGATGTTTGGTATTTGATTAAGGATATCAATGCTTTTATAGAGTGGGAATAACTTCATTACTGGTGGGTCACCCCTACCCCACCCCCTCGCCTCTCTAGTATTCCAACGGAACATAGTTTAAAATTTCTCTTATTTACCACAATTATGGGACAAGTGGATTGTGGATCTCTTAAAAAAACAATCAAGAGTTTCAAATCTTGCCTTCTAAATTTTTTTTTTGATACGATAGATATAATTACTTTTTTTTTTTATATAGATCTGAATACAATTGTCTATATCAAAATTTTGTATGTGAAAATAAAAATAAGAATACATATAGCAATTTTCTTATGAGTATTAATGTAGAAACGCTTTTAACATATTTTTAAGCACCCAAAAAAAATAATAACCCATTTACATCTGTTTGATTATTGTCATTGCGCAACTTTATGCGTCAATTTTTTTTTATAACAATAGACGCATATTATTATATTTTTATAATCAGACCCAAGAACAAGCTAAGTGGGTCCCTTAAGAAATGGTTAATCCTTATCTATTTATCTGTGAATGAAAAATATCTTGGGCACGCATAAAGATATGGTTGAACCTTTTATGCAACTTTGGGCAGTCCTTAGTTGAATTTCCACTTGAGTTTAATTTGTGCCCCCCACTGATTTCATGTCTGAGCGCCCACAGATTTGCATGAGGGTGACAACATTACAGGATGACAATATTATTTTAAGAAATGGGATTATAAACATCATTTCATTTGCCACCTAGATGTCATGTCATAGGATTTTTTTTTTCCCTTTGCCTTATCCAAACTTTGCTGCTAGAATTAAATAAGGCTAATTTACCCGAGCAGGTACGGTGGCGGCTGTTACTGCACGTTCGGAAGAATTTACTCACTTCAGGGAATGAGGAAGAAAATCAGGATGAAAGCCTAAGGTTAACAGATACCAGATAGAGATTCAAAATTCAATTCAGTTATTCAGAGATTATAACAATAGAGAGTACTAAATAGCTAACATAATACTCTCCTATACAATAGGTTATGTATAATCAACTAAACTACCACCACATATATATTAAGTAGCTCAATGGTACCTTAACTTTATAATTCTTCTAAATAGGAGATCATATGTTTAAATCTCAGTGAGAGCATTAATTCTATCTCTTTGTGTTTCAATAGGTTAAGAAAGTATGTATGAACAGATATTACGTTCTAATAGAGTTGATAAGAAATTATGTATGAATAAACAGATACTACGTTCTAATAGGTCATGAAATATGTTAAATATGTTGCAAATGTTTGTAATATGTGTGATCAAACTATATCACCATTGCAAGAGTAGTTTTAAAAAAATGTATTGATGATGGTGTGGTAGGTATAGAGATTAATTAAATTATCTAAAGTTTACTATACTTGATACTAATTACTAATGAATATTCAAGAATAGTAATCCCATCAAATCAAATATATAAATGAATGGGACATGTCACCTAATGGCATGGGAAAAGAAGATGGAGCAAGGAAAAAAGTTGGAGGTTAATGGAGGACAATAAAAATGGTGTCATTTTCAAGAACCACTTAGGAAATGCCATCAACTCACCAAGCTTCTCCAACAAAATATCTACTTCACGAATTGTATTAGTTACGCTATTCGAATAATATTATACATACTCTTATTTTTACAATATAAATTTTTTATTTTTTGTTTATTTATAAATGTGAATCATAATTTTTATTCATATTTTTTAATCTATTAATAAAATCAATCTGTATGGAAAAGGTTTTATTTCAAAAAAATTTATATATATGTCATTTTCTACTAATAGCAGGTCAATTCATATATGATTTTTGAATATTATTTTAGTGATCTAATCTTGTTGAAGTTGGCATCCACTCATCTCTAATTTTCATGATTTCATTAATTCCTCCTCCTTATTATATGGAGAAATATCCATAGATACAATATTTGGAATCATTTTTGGCACCTTCTTATCATGATGCTTCCTTAATTTAATTAAAGCTTATAATTACTAATTGACTACTTAAAAATATACATAGAATGTAATAGTTCACAAATCACACATGAGAAGTCAATCATGATAGGACAGTTATGTATGACAGGCTTGATCGAGATAGTGAGATTTTCTCATGTATTTAGGGAGGGAAATAAGTGCCCCCGACTGGTTAGTCAATTTTGGGCAACATTATAATTGGAAAACGACAGTTCTCAAAAATGTGACAGATGACATGACGTATTGAGGCACTAAAAAAATATATGATATACATGTTATAATATCTTTAGGATTGTTTTTTCTTATGAAATATTTCCCCCACTACTCTTCAAAGTTCAAAGCCAACATATATAATTTTCTTCTTCTTTTTAAGAGAACAAAATATGGTTATTGAAAGGGAAATTCACGAGAAAATAGGCGGGTAAATTATTAGGAGTCAAAAATAAAATAAAAAATCTATTGCCGTTAAAAATTTTAGCGGAGGAAATTAAAAGTAGCAGTTGCATGCCTTTAAATTGTAAAACACCGCCACGGTTTGTTGCAGGCAGATTGATAGTTGGGGATCGTAGAGACGCCGTGCTGGTGGTTCTCGGTGGACGGAGGCGGAGGTGGTGGTGGTGGTGGTGGTGGCAGAGCTGCTCTTGCCTTCGCCGCCTTTGCTTACCGCACCTGAGGAGCATCTGCACTGTATTGCATTTCCTTTTCGAAAAGCGAGGCGTCGGTTGAGGACATTATCGCCATTTCTCAAATCGTTTGTCAATTTCCTGTTGATTGCATTACAATTTACAAGCTCACAGGCCGCGAAAAGAGATACGTTCTCTACCTACATATTTGTGTATGTACTATTGTGCTTTGTGTCCGGGAGACATCGTAACGTGGAAGAGAAGGCTTCGTCTCGCTTTGGATCGGCCGTCTTTTAACATTAGGTGCATTTGAATTTTACTCTCTGAATCCAGAAGCATCCTCAGTTGTTTATATTCGAAACTGTCTGCTTTCTATTGTATATTATTTTTCTGGTTGAATTGATTTTTTTTTTTTCAGAGTAGTTTTGGTGCGAGGTTTTTATATATTTCCGTACTCAAGTTTTTTATTGTGAATCATTATGAGGAGATGAGGATTCTTACGTTCATTTTCTTCATATTTTTGGTGTTTCCGATGGCTTTTTATGCAAAATCTGTCAATTTTAAATTTATAAGTTCCAAAATTGATCACTTGAATTTCAGAGATGAGGACAATAACGTTGTAAACATTGTGTAGAACTTGAAGATTTGGGAATTTTTTGCATAATTTAGCAAGTTGTACTGTTTTTACAGTTAAACTGTTGTGATTTTAGCTTAATTTGAAATTATTTGAGTTTTCTTCTAATCAGAGATCAGTATTTGCTATTTACTCAGTTAAACAGTGGTTGTGTGAAGAGAATGGGACTTAAAGCCATTTGGAGGGGAAATGGAAATGGCAGAGAGAGAAAGGCATCAAGGCAAGCAGAAAGGAAGTGGAAGGTAGGACGTGGGAGGTCAGATGTGGCCCCTGAAAGGTTACCTCTGCTCCTACGTGAATTGGATGAAGAAAGCCCCTGGGAAGATTTGCCTTCTGATTTGCTTTTTGACATTATCAAAAGAGTTGAGGCAAATGAGACCTCATGGCCTTCCCGCAGAGATGTGGTCAGTTGTGCTGCTGTTTGCAGAGCTTGGCGGGAAACCACAAAGCAGGTTGTCAGGACACCCCAGCAATGTGGATTGCTCACTTTCCCCAAGTCCCTGAAGCAGGTAACCTTATTTTTTGAATTATTTCAGATGATTGCTTAGGCCACTTCTTAACATACCAAACCTGATTTTTCTTTCTAAAATTCTGTTAGCCTGGGCCAAGAGATTCACCAATTCATTGCTACATTAAAAGAGACAGGGCTGCATCAAAATTCAAGTTGTACCTTGGCCTGGTTCCTGGTAAAATATGCCTTATTAGCTCTATTTTGGAAAGGAAGTTTTCTGTTTGAGTGTTTAATAACTGTTAAATTCTCTGCCTCAGTCGTGTTTTCAGTTTGTTAGCTATTGTAAAAAATAATTTGGAAATCAAGTTGTTTGGCTCTTTTGAGAACTTTATTTAGATGAATTGTAGGTTCTTTCTTGTTTGTTGTTCGTGATTAGTTTGCATCTCCATGATATTAATAATTTTCTTTCTTGAGTCTATAAAGCTTGCTTGTGAAACAGTGTGGAGTATAAGAATTTATTTGACTCCCTCTTACTTTTTACTGGCAAGAGTGATGATCTAAGTTGTAAACGTGTGCGCAAACAAGTTATGAGTTTGACTTTGACAATTCAACTATTCTTGAACTTCCAGGTGATGATGGTAAGTTGTTATTGACAGCATATAAAATCAATAGGATTGTGTGCACTGAATTCTTGATATCGTTGTCTTCGAATGACTCTTCTCCAGACAGTGATACTTGTGTTGGGAAATTAAGGTCAGTCATGAAGCTGCTTCTCCTCTCGTATGTGTCATTTTGAAATATGTTTCTTATCTCTCCTGGTAATAATTGTATTATACAACAGGTCTAATTTCCTTGGCACAAAGTTTGCACTTTATGACTCCCAGTCTCCACTGAACTCGGGTATCAAATCCAATGATTGGTTACATAAAAGATTTATGGGGATGAAGGTGCCAGTAAAGGCACCAGCTGGCAATAATAATGTGGCAGCCATATCTTATGGTGTAAATGTTCTCCGTAATGAAGGGCCGAGAAAAATGCAATGCACCCTGCACTCAATTCCGTCTTCTGCACTAGAAGTGGGATCTGCAACTAAACCAGAAGGTTTTGGCAAATGTAATGACTATAGATCCTGCTCTTCACCTCATTCGGCGGGAAGGAATCAAGAATTCTCTTCTAATTGTACCACTGAGCCAACGGAATTCATTCACACGTGTTCAGATCCACTGACTTTAAGGAATATATCTCCTAGATGGCATGAGCAATTGCAATGCTGGTGCTTGAATTTCAATGGACGAGCCACAATGGCTTCTGTCAAGAACTTTCAGCTTGTGGCTGCTGTTGGGGGATCTCAAAATATGCCACTTGCAGAACCAGAAAAAGTCATCCTACAATTTGGAAAGATAGGAAAGGACATTTTTACCATGGATTACTGCTATCCTCTTTCTGCCTTCCAAGCATTTGCAATCTGTTTAAGTACCTTTGGCACAAAACTAGCATGTGACTAGCCTTAATTCTATTCTTCTGTTGTCTTCCCCAAAGACTCCAAGAGTGAGTTGTGTACATCATTTAGATTTTTTTTAAAAATAATTATATAAATATTAGGGAGGTTTTTGTTTGGGCAGACTCTATTTTACATTTTGGTAGGAATCAGAATGGTCTGGTCACTGACCAGTATATAGTCTGTAACTGACTGTAAAAATTGCTATTTGATGTACTCATCAGAAGTTTTTCTCTTCAAATCAGTAAAATTTTTGTCTGCTTTCTGCAAGAAGTAACATTCTCCTTTTAGTTCAAAGACAATATATGTGGTTTTTTGTTCTTAGTTAAGTTGTTTTTAGATTTTGACAAATATTCTTTATATTATACATAACAAGCTCTCAGAAACTGTGATATGGCATTAGCATAATACATACATGATCCATGGATTAAAGACATCCTTATTACAATTCGTGTTGAGCCTCTTGGTAACTAGCTGAAATTTGATAATTCCACACATGATAGACTTTGAACCATAATCTATCTGGACAACTTAATATCTTCCTCGTTTTCTATAGGCTTCTCTTTGCAGTAAGCACGACAACCATGGTGCCGAGGCTTTTCAGGGTTATCCAGGTCAGAATCACTTGAATCCAAGAAAAGGCCTTTGAGACATCTCCGTCTAATTGTAGGCTCATATGTAAGTTTCTGGGCATGGGTGGTGTTGGATTCAGCCTTGCGAATTTCAATGGACCCTTTTTTGTCATATGATTTTACAGGTTCTGCTGGAAGATGTGGCATTTCCAGATTCACGCCAGGATTTCTTTCTGTGACGGAACTGTTTAACAGAATTGAGTTGTTGCTGCCCTGTATGTTGCAGTTCACACATGCTTTCACTTCCTGATTTTTGATGGCTTTTTGGTCTTCTAATTTTCTTCCCCCGGAACTTCCCTCTGCATCGGTGGTTGCCTCAATACTTTCATCAGGATTTGATTTATAGCTTCTGTGGATGTGGATTGGCTTCTCATTCTTAGGTGAGCCGAAGCCAAATTGCAAAGATGCCCCTCTGTTATCACCTGCAAGGGTTATCACATTAACCGGCCTCTCTTCCATGGATTGCTTATTACCTCCAATATCTGTCTGTTGAACTAACTTTGAGATACTGCTATCTTTGATATCTTTGTGCAGAGGAGGGGATTGTTCTTTGGACATTCCAAGTTTTTTATGTGAACCAGTGACTATTGTTTTGGTTTGTTGTCCATTAGAATTTGAGGTCTTCACTGTCTGCTCCATGCTAAATTGCTCTTGCGTATCCTCTGGTTGAACTGCAACTGCTGGCTGCTCTTTTGTTGTCTGTATCTCCTTAACCTCATGCTTAGCTTCATCATGATCTTTCTCTCCAGTCTCTTGTATGACTTCCTTAGCTTCCTCGAGATTTGAGTCCACAGGAGGTTTAGATTCTTGATTGTTGGTTGTAACATCCGACTTTTGTGAAGGCTCGGGGGCCTCTCGACCTTCTGTGATGTCAGTTGCAGGAGTCATTTTTTCTGATTCTTTGGAAGGCTGTATTGTCATCTCAGGTTGCTGAATTTTTGCTTCTTTACTAGTATCTTCTGATGCGGTTTCTTTCTTGGGTTGAAGTTCTGCAGGTTGTTGCTCGGTTTGTGGAGGTGCTTGGCTTTCATTATCAGGCTTGGAAGGTAGCAGAGATTGGTCCTCTAGTTTCTTTGATGGCAATGATGGCTGAGGAATAATTTCCTCTGGTGTTGGTTGCATTTTAGCAGTTGTCTCTGATGGAGAGGTTGAAGATGTCTCCTCTGCAGCACGAGATGCCAAACGCGATGGAGACTGAGGGGGCTTGCGGCTTGGGGACGATGATGGAGTTGTTGGCCGTGATTGAGGAGCTGAACGAGATGGCGAGGAGGGTTTAGGCTCACCTCTAGATGCCGGAGTGGGGGAAGAGGATCCTTGCACCGGAGCTATCCCTGCAGGCCTAAACGGCGGCCTTTGAGCAGCTCCGGCTGCAGGAGCCGTGGCAGACTGGCTAGAGTTTTGGTTTTCAGGCGGCGGAGCAGGACTTCCAGCCGCTGCCTGGGAAGCGGCTTCACTTTGAATGGTGGTAGTGGAGCCCCGAGCTGATCGGGAGGCGGTCCAAGGAAGACGAAAACGAAAAGCTGATCTTTGCTCTGCCATTTCAGTTGTCAGTTTGAAGGTGTTGTATTATGTTGTCCTGGTAATGCAATGACTGCAAAACGGTGTGTATAAATGGGTTTCCATTTGATCCCTCGGAAGAGCCAGAGTCTGAAGTTTTCCATTTCGTCGTCAAAACTTACAGCTTCCTTACCTTTCTTGGGGACAACTTCTACCCAGAAATTCATCGGATACTGCAAACAGATTTGCCTCGCCAACATGTTTAGCATCTTCCTATGTTTCCTTCTTTCTTTCCCTCTCTCTTCCAGGTGACTAAATGCCTTCTCAAGAAAGGAAAGGAAAGCAAAGCAGAGCCAACAGGAATTTCTTTTCCTAGCCCAGTAATGCAAGCAAAGAACAAAAAGATAAGTCACGTTTTAGGCAAGTAATCAAGAAAGGAAAGTTCTCTCCTTTTGGGTTTCTACTTTCTACCATCATTAAGTACAGATAATCATCATCAGATTCACCACAAATCACTGTCCTAACCCCGGATTCGTCCTTGATTAGGTACGTTTTCAGGTTTCCTGTTACTTTCAACTATATAACTAAATAATAATCACATTTACCATCTTTTATCAATATAGAGCCACCATGCAAGGCCTTCTGCAAGCAGTGAGATCATGTCGTGAAAAGCTAAGGCTTGCGGTTCTAGGGCAATCACAGGCAAGAAATGCAGGGGAGTTCAAGGGATCAAAGGACATAATGGTGATGGAGTCTCCAAGAATGCAGCTCAAGGGACTGGAGAACACGACGGTATCAGATGTATTGATGACCAAAGGAGGAGAGAAAGCGGGTTCATGGCTTTGCTGTAAAATGGATGACACGGTTTATGCTGCTGTAAAACAAGTATGTTCCAAACTCAAACTATAGTTTCTTACTAATCATCCTTTCTGTAGTTGAAAATTAATATAATTCTAACAAATATGAAGATGGCTCAAAACAACATTGGGTCCTTGGTGGTTCTGAAGCCTGGAGACCATCACCAGATAGCAGGAATCATTACAGAAAGGGGTATGAAGTATGATCTCTGCGGCTAGTTTTTCTTTTCCTTTTCAAGAACTTATCCTACAAAAAATGATCCAAAACAAACAAATCTAAGCATTGCAATAAACCTGACCTGATGAAGCTATGAACTTATGAGGGGGAACAGATTATCTCAAGAAGGTGATTGTGCAAGATAGAGCATCCAAATACACAAGAGTTGGAGATATTATGACTGACCAGGTTGTTGCCTCACAGTATGAATACTATCTTATTCATCTTCATTTTTCTCCTAACCATCCTCTACTGCAACAGAGCAAGTTGATAACAGTTGCATCCGACACAAACATTCTACAAGCTATGCAGATCATGACAGGTAATTGTAGTAATAGTATTCACATGCACAAGGAAAGAAGGCTGACGGACAAATTCAGGAAAAGGGAAAACGAAAAGTAACAGATCCTTCCACTATCGAAAAAAATTAGAGTAACTAACAATATTTCATGCTTTATGCTTATAGAGAACCAAATAAGGCATGTCCCAGTGGTAGACGGAAAGATTGTGGGTGTGGTCTCAGTTGTGGATATTGTCCGAGCAGTAGTGGAGCAGCAGAGAGGAGAAGTTAAGCAACTAAATGAATTCATCAGGGGAAATTACTATTGATGAAGTACACATCTAAGACACCGTATACTACACCTTGCCTTATGACTCTACATTGTCTGAAGCACAAAGCAAATAACCAAATAACTGGAGAAATCCACTCGATCAACTGTAACTCTACATTGCCTGAAGCACAAAGCAAATAGCTAAAGAAACACAGAAATCCACCCTGTCAATTGTAATTCGAGCTATATTCTTGCATATGAGGATATTATGTGTAAAAGACAGATTTATTATCCAGTACCCACTTTCACTAGTGATGTTTTACTCAGCTCCCAATATCTATCATTTGGGAATAAAATCGGAAAGAGAAGAAGAAAAAAGAAGTTGAGCAACAATTTAGCATTAATGAGGTAAATTTCAAGTCAAGCAAGGCATTGACTGTCCATGAAGGACACAAGGTCAGCCAAATACGAAGTTTGAACAAGTTATGAATTTCCTGTACTTGCTGCCCTCGAGCTATGCAAGCTGGCATTTGATGTTCCTAGGGCAGCAGAACGGGCTTACATTGTTGTGTATACTAGTAAACTTAGATGCACCGGCATGGATCTGTTCAAAGAACACTATCAGGAGAAGAGCCCCAGAAGTAAACAAACCTTGCCTGATACATAACTAGTGAATAATCAAAACAATTTTACAGACGTCTTCAAAAAGCCGTGGCTCGAAATGCTACCCTAACGAAATGCAGAACTTGCAAATCCCTGAGCTTCCTTCAGTTTGCAAATCCTTGCAGCTTCTTGCTTAAACCCACCAGCTTCGAGTCCATTTATGACCCTATCAAAGTCCTCTGCTCCCAACTGCTCCTTTTTAGCCTCCACAGCACTGAGAGCTTGAAGAGCCTTCTTCTCAGCCCCAGCACTTGCATACATTGCACAAAGACTAACATTAACTTTGAAAGGTGGAGTCTCACCAAGCTCAGCAATCTTATCTACGACTTGTTCAGCTTCATCAATTAGCAGCAACTTACTCAACCAATCCACAATAATCGAGTAAGTAGCAACACCTGGCTTAAAACCATCCTTCTCGAGTTCAAGCAGAAGTTGCAAAGCTTTATCCAAATTATTCTTCTTCTCATATGCTGCTATCATGCTAGCTGTACATCTGTCATCTGGCTCGATTCCAAGCTTCATCAAGAAATCAAAAGTATGCCTAGCATTATCCGATTGCCCAGTTTTCGCATATGCTTCAATGAGCAGTGTGTGGGACTCTAAACTTGGCTGATAACCAGCAAACTGCATCATATTGGATATTCTTTCAGCTCCATGAGTGTCACCACGCTGAGCATATGACGTCAGCAAAGCCATATATATCTCTTGTGTGGGTTTGATATCTCTCGCCTCCATATTTCTGATCAATGGCTCAGCCGCCTTGGGTTGGCCTGCATTTACATAGGGCATTATCATAGAGTTGTACATCTTTGCATTTGGTCGGAACCCTTGTTTTATCAAATTTTCAAATGCCACTTGCGCTTTATCAAAATTCCCTGATTTGCTGTACATTTGAACTACAGTAATTGATGTGGCAATATCAGGTACTAAGCCTTTATCATTCATCTTTTTCAGAATTCTCTCAGCATCTTCGAATCGATTCTCTTTGGCATGTGCATCAATGAGTTTAGAGTAGTCAGTTATGTTTGTTTGGAAGGACTCTTCATCAAGAACATGTTCTGCAATCTTAAAAATCAATTGAAAAAAGACACATAAACAAACAAAGACAAAAGACCACTAAAGACATCCAAAGTGCAAGCCATCAAAGAAAGGGAAATTAAAATGCATAGAACCCAAAAACCAAATCCCATAACTTTTGCACCTAAAATGTCATCTTATAAATTGCATAAATGCAGAATGCCATGCCCATCACTCAGGATTAAATATTCATCATATATATATATATATATATATATATATATATATATATATATATATATATATATATATATATATATATAATACCCAATTTGGTCCCCGACTATTTAGGATTGGGTGTTGCTATTTGCACCACCCCTTTGACTAAAATGGAGTATAAAGTACATTGAAAATATAAAAAGGTGATAATTTATAATAAATACATAGGTGGTGCAAATAGCCTAATGGGTGGTCAAAATGCTATTTGCACCACCTTAGTAAAACTGCATTTATTAGATTTAAATAATAATTAATTAATTCAAAATTTAATTCATTAAAATTATTAAAAAAAAAAAAAAAAAACCATCGCCGGAGAAGGCAACCCACGCTACCTGGGTTGCCTACTCCGGTGAGAAGGCAGTCCCTCGCCTTCTCCGGTGAGAAGGACCGGAGAAAGCAGTCCCTCGCCTGGTGAGAAGGCAGTCCCTCGCCTGGTGAGAAGGCAGTCCCTCGCCTGGTGAGAAGGCAGTCCCTCGCCTGGTGAGAAGGCAGTCCCTCGCCTGGTGAGAAGGCAGTCCCTCGCCTTCTCCGGTCCCTCGCCTTCTCCGGTGAGAAGGCGAGGGGTTTAACTTTTTTTTTTTTTTTTTAAATTAATAATTTGATTGTAAAAAATATATATATATATAAAATAAATATTAATCTTTGACCACATTAAATTATGGTGGTGCAAATAGCACGTTTTAATTAGCACCACCTATAAAGTGGTTTGACCTATTAAATAGGTGGTGCAAATAGTAAAGGGAAATTCTATTCACACCACCTATTTAATAGGCCAAACCACTTTATAGGTAGTGCTAATTAAAAAGTGCTATTTGCACCACCATCATTTAATATGGTCAAAGACTAATATTTATTTTATATATATATTTTTACAATCAAATTATTAATGTTAAAAAAAAAAAAAAAAAAAAAATTAAACCCTGGAGAAGGCAAGGGGTCGCCTTCTCACCGGAGAATCACCTATTCGCGGTGAGAAGGCAACCTGGGTCGCCTTCTCACCTATGAGAAGGCAACCTGGGTCGCCTTCTCACCTATGAGAAGGCAACATGGGTCGCCTTCTCACCTATGAGAAGGCAACATGGGTCGCCTTCTCACCTATGAGAAGGCAACATGGGTCGCCTTCTCACCTATGAGAAGGCAACATGGGTCGCCTTCTCACCTATGAGAAGGCAACATGGGTCGCCTTCTCACCTATGAGAAGGCAACATGGGTCGCCTTCTCCGGGGTTTTTTTTTTTTTTTTTAATTTTAATGAATTAAAATTTGAATTAATTAATTATTACTTAAATCTAATAAATACAGTTTTACTAAGGTAGTGCAAATAGTATTTTGACCACCCATTAGACTATTTGCACCACCTATGTATTTATTATAAATTATCACCTTTTTATATTTTCAATGTACATACCCTATTTTAGTCAAAGGGTGGTGCAAATAGCAACACCCATAGTAAAATAAGTGGTGTGAATAGAATTTCACTTAGGATTTCACCAATTTGGTCCTCAACTACCAAAATTGCTCAATTTAATCCCTAACTATGAAATTTTTACCTAAAATGGTCCCTCCACTATTAGGATTTCACCACTATGATCCTCGACTACCCGTTGTAACTCGAGACACTAGAAGCAGCCAATTTGAAATTTGATAATAATACTAAATGAGGGAACATTTAAAATATACAATCTTTGAGCAAAATAACAGGAAAATGATGAAGCTTTAACTGAATAAATGCTATGGGGAGCCTGTGTGGGAACATACCTTGAAGTATAAACGAGCATTCTGTTCCTTTATCTTATCAAGCAGACTTATCCAATCGACCCTACTAGGTTGGAGCAATTCAACCCATTCAGCTAAGAGAGGAGCAGGGTCACTATGCTCAGGCAATGAAAGAATTTTTTCAGTAACAAGTTTGCACTTCCCAGATATTGGCTTCAGTTCTTGGGGAGAAATAATGGCTTCTGCCTCATGAACTTTATCAGCTACATCAGCCCACTCCGGGCTAGATAAATCAAGCCCATAAATTTTGTACTTAATCTTCCCATGCCTCTTTGGGAGTGTAACCTCGGGCTCAACCTTGCCCACATCACCATCTTCTCCAACACTCTTCCTTTCTGCAGTTTTCGATTCTTCTGGTGTACGAGACATGGCATCTTGTTCCCTTAACTTCTCCAAGCTCTCATAAAATTCACTCTCCTCCATCTTTTCACGCGCCCACTTGAACCTAAGCTCCCTCAGCATCTCACCCCGAATGCCAATTTCGCCAGCAAACCTGTACATTTCCTTCACTTCCTCTGACTGAAGAAACCCCTTCAGTTTCTCCTTCCTTGTAGCTTTCTGCATATCATCCAACACTGAATTACTCACATCCCAAACCGTTCTCCACAAATCCGGACTAAAATCCTGCGGAGATGTATCAGTTCCCTCCCCTAGCGTCTGCTCATCTCCACCTTTTTCTATCTCGGAAGCGACCTTCCTAACAATGAACAAAAGCATCCCATCAATCGTATTCTTATCGTCGCCAGGATAAGCTTCATTCAGCTTCTTCCGCATTATCCAAACAAATCTCGATAGAAACTCATTCGTAGTGGAATCTTCATCATCCTCTGACCCAGTTTCTGAATCCATCACAACAGTTTCCTGGGCAGTATGTATGAATCTAGAACCGAAATCCCAAAACGGTTTTGGGTATTTCGGCACATTGGCAAGGAGAATGCCATGAAGAGCAGGGTTTGAAGAAAGTAGAGAGGAAATGGAGGAGGGAATCGTTCTATAATTTCGGTGAAAATACGTTTGTTGAGATAAAATTCTAGTGTTATTGAGCTTCCTTAAACAGTTGATTGATCTTCTGGTGATGAAATGCTTCAGATTCATTCTCGTTTCTCGCAAGGGATTAGATCGGAGCTCAGAATTGTAGGGTTTAGAGTGTTACTGGTTAAAAACTTCTAAACCCTAGTCTACTGGAAAACGGAAGGGAGAGAATAATACGTAAAAATCATGGGCTTTTCTTCTTTACTAAAAGCCCAATTATATAGATGAAGGTCCATAATTTCTTTCAGTGATCCATATTCTTTGTAAGCCCATTAAAATTATGGTTCAGCCCAAGTAATCGCCACATAATAAAAAGACTTAAAAAGAGGTGTAGGTTAAGAATTTAGAGGCAAGCTATATGGCCAACTTGCCAATATTAATATTAAAAAAAAAAAAAAAACTAATTTTGTATTTAAAATTTGACATTTAGAGATTTTAAACTTTGTACTAATTTTATTTAATATTATTTGAGTCTTTATTAACCTTAAATTTTTGTATTAATATTGCTTTAACTAGGTTTTTTTTTGGTAGTGTTAGCGGCTAGCTTGCCAAAGCCCATTAATTGTGGGGACATAGGCGGGTTGTTATATTCTAAGTCCGCCTAAATAGTGGGTAGCCTTGCCAAATTGTGGGTTTTGAAAGGCGTCCGCCACGCTAGCTCACTTTAACATTACTAATTGTATAGTTTTATACTTTTACAGCACGTTTGGTTCACGGAATGAATTTTGAGGTAATAGGAATACTATTCTATAAGGAATGGAATAGAGAAGGAATAGAATAGGAATTGTATTCTATTGTTTGGTTCGCGGAAGGAATAGACTTTATGAATTATATTACAGTGTTTGGTTGGTTTTAAGGAATAAAAATGAAATATGTTTTAAAAGACATAAATACCCTTATAAAAATATGTGGTGGTGTCGATGGTGGCAGTGGCGGCGGCGGTGGTAGCGGTGGTGGTGCCGGTGCTGGTGGTGGTGGTGGTGGCGGTGGCGGCGATGGTGGTGGCGGCGGCGGTGGTGGTGGTAGCAACGGTGGTGGCGATGCTAGTGGTGGTGTTGGTGGGGTGGTGGTGCTGGTAGCGGTGGCAGCAGTGGTGGTGGTAGCGGCTGTGGTGGTACTGGTGGCGGCGGCGGTGGTGGTACTGGTGGCGGCGGCGGTGGTAGCGATGGTGGTGGTGGCGACGGTGGTGGTAGTGGTGGTGGCGGCGATAGTGGTGTTGGTGGGGTGGTGGTGCTAGTGGCGGTGGGGGTGGTGGGGTGGTGCTGGTGGTGAAATAGGAAATAGAAATTTTAGGCTATTTCTAAGAACTCAGTAATAGCCTAATACCAGGGGGCTCTGGTAATAGGTATTACCTTATCTGGGGGAATAGGGTATTACCGGGAATATTATTCCCGGTAATAGAAATGGTTACCAAACAAAGGAATAAGCCTATTACTGAGAATGTTATGCCATTCATGGCCTATTCCGTGAACCAAACGGGCCATTATATTCACTAGTTACCATAATTTAGTCAATTCTTTTATTTAAGAGAGTTTACGTAATAATCAAATACATGTTAGGGGTAATAATCAAATACATGTTAGCAGTTAATATAAAATAGTGATTTTAGTATACAAATCATACATGACCTTGTTTTTATTATAAAACATGATTTTTCTCTATTAAAATCATCCTAACAGTTATTACCATTATCTATAAGGTTGTTATATATATATATATATATATATATATATATATATATATATATATATTAATTATTGAATAAGCTTATCTTTACAACAAATTAATTTAAAAAATTAATTAATAATAAATATTGGAGATATACCCTGACCTTTTGGGCCTGATAGGGAAATACGTCGTCGATTTAAGAGATTGTACTCGAAGACCGACAATAAACCATGGACAACCTTACCCAATTTCTCTCAATGAGGCAGTCTTTTAATTCTCGACCGCACATGCTTGGGTTGGAAATAGGTTCGCACCCAGAGAGAATTGTCTTACAGTTAAAAACCGAGCAGGAAGACCCATCACAATTCTAGCATCTTGATTGCCAACATCTTTAAGGACACTTGACATAAAGAGAGTGGTCGTTGAATTTTCATCATTCACATGGTGGAAGCAGAGAAATGATAAGATTTGGAATGACTCAACCCCTCTTCATGAGCATCAACTTGTTAGAAATGCAAGGAGCTTCCTGGGTGAGTGGACAGAGATTACAAAAGTCCAATTCCCCCATCATCATGTTTCCTCTACTACAGCTCAAAGGTGGACCAAACCACAGTAGGGCATGATGAAGATGAATGTGGACGCTGCGATCAACATCTCCGAAGAAGCCATGGGTCTCGGATGTGTCATTAGAGATGATGAAGGTCATTTTATTGCAGCCCGGGGAACTCAGTGGAGAGGCATTTTTACACCCAGGGAAGCAGAAGCCGTAGCTATCCGTGAAGCTTTAAGTTGGCTAAAATCACTCAATATGGATAATGTGCAGGTAGAATCTAACTCTTTGCAAAAGTTCAGGGCCTTAAAGAAAATGGTGGATTTTCTTCTTTCCATCTGATCATTGATGATATTAAACACATCCAAAATGATTTCTGTAATGTGTTTGTTTCGTTTGCCAAAAGATCAGCGAACCAAGCAGCTTATGAGTTAGCTAGGCTGTCTTGTTCTTTGTCTGATTGTTCGGAGTGGTTCCATAACCCTCCTCCTATCATTTGTAATGTGTTGTTTTCTGATTTATGTTAATGAAAGTTCATGTTGGATGGTTTCAAAAAAAAAAATCATTCACATGGCAAACATGACGGAGGCCCCACATGGCCACATGTCTTTCCTCTTCACCTCCTCTATATATAGGGCATTAAATGCACTTGATGGGACCTTTTGGGAGAAATCTCATAAGACATCATATCGAAATCCACCGACCATATAAGGTTTAACATGTATAATAGCCTAATAGGACAAGCTACTCGACATAAGAAACTAAATATTTGATTTATGATCAGATTAGCTGTATCAGGGCCCATATGATCCAACAAATCTCATGTAAGAAATAATAAGGTTAGTTCATATAGATTATCCGAGCATGAAACAACTCAAGCACGAAAAAGAACAAGAGAAATTAGCTATTAAGAGTAAACACATGAGATGGTTAGCCCAATAACTCAACCTAACACGGTGTCGACAGCAAATAAGGTATAAGCTTAATGGCAACGGTGAGCTACGTACGCTACCATTCTCTCATGTCCCGTCCATTTTTAGGCCATGCATGTACCCCACATCTTAACATATATAAAACAACACCTTGGCTTACGAAAGGGAGACTTTTGGCTTCTTTCCATTCTGAACTCGCAAAAAAAAAAAAAACAAAAAAAAAAACAAAAAAAAAAACCGAGTTTGATTCTTGTTAACACTTTCTCAGTTAAATTTATTGCGCATGGTCTTACTAGTGCGATTTAATTATTATGTATAGTTTGCAAGCTATTACATAAGAGCAGATTTAATTAGTACACACCACCTAAAAAAGTTGTTGAAAATTTTGGAAATAAAACTGGCAGGACCCGTGCTTGCTGGCATTTCTGACCACCACAAAATCACAATTAGAGTTGGCAAAGTTGAAAATTTTGAAAATGTACATCTACTTTCTAAGTAGCCGAAAAATGTGATTAGTAATAGACCATTTTCCAACCATGATGCATAATCATACAACTTTAAAGAGAAAAAAAAAAACTGTAAAATCTTAAAATATTTAAACTATTGTAACTTCTTCTATACCCATGGCACCTTAACGTCACCATTAGAATGGGAATTCGTATCTGGGAGCATAATTTTTGCAACTACTCCGTATATATTTGTGTTTTATTCTTATACTCTTCAGACCAATATTGTGCAAGAAAAGTTGTGGTCTAAAAATATGTTAAGTAGAAAAATTAAAACTACAAGAGACAAATCTAACTTTTATAAAGTGTAGATCGAAATCTAGAAATGTAGAATAGATGCTCTGATAATATAGGTTGCCACTCCTGTGGCTTAGGATTTCATGTATATCTTTGTCTCCATATCCAATTGTCAATTTTTGAACTTTCTTGGTAAATTTTACATTCTCATGAAATGACATTTCTATCAATCTTTTTTGGCAATACAAATTAAATCCTGTGAAAAAACCAACAAATTATCCCAGAGATGCTAGATCATCTATAATAGTAAACAATATTCCCATTGCTGGATTGATATAAATGGAACAAAAAAGTTACGTCGCGTAGTTTATTATTCGTTTATAATTTGACATTTAATTTATATTCTTATTGATTGGTCAATATCGGTTGTGAGGTCAATCAATTCGGGAATGAATGAAATATCAAACTATGAATGGAAGGTGTATAGTCTGATGTTATATCATTAAAGAAATAAGTCGGGATTTATTAAAAAAAAAAAAAGTATAAAAGTGAAGACTCAAGACCCCTTAATTTCTATTGAATACCCGTGCCTGGTTGGTTCATCTATTCATGAATAAACTTAACTTGCCCCGAATGGGATGGCTAAATGAGTAGAGCATGGTTCTTATACCAGAAAGTCATGAGTTCGATTCTTGTCAACACCTCTCAGTCACAGGGTTTACCTAGTGCACATACTCAGGTAGTGGATGTGGGTTTCCCACGTCATCCAAAAAAAAGAGGAATGAACTTAACTTGCCTGAGGTTCAAGCCAGTAGTGTAGCTTCAAATGTTTTGGCATCAAGACATTTCCTTGCAAAGCAGCTTATTCTGGATGTCTTCATAATCCAATAGTATTTCATGGATCCACTGCCATAAAAATGATGAGTCAACTTGAAAACTCAGTTATATTCAGCAAGATACCCAAAAAAGTAAAAGACCTTGCTAAAATTCCAGTGTAAATGAGTGAGGATAAAACAGGAGAAAATTATTCCAATTCACCTAATTAAATGCAAGCAAGCAAGAAAACATATATTTGACTCTGGAAAGGGAAAACACATTCAGATTAGTCAAGAAAAGAAGGCTAATCTGTTCTCCTATCTCTTATACCATTGCCGTCCAATCTAGTAAGCATATGTCAAGATTTCGCTGTAGCACTCATGGGTCTATCTCCTTATCTTTTGGAACATTTCATCAAGAAAAAGATCCCTCCGGCGCATTCCTTTTTCCATGTTGATTCAACCACTAGAAAGAACCTATCACAAATTGGCATAGCTTTATTCATAGATTCCCTCCTTAGTGTACTTCTCAAGCTAGCTTTTACTGGCATATGAAAGGGAATAAGGTAGGAGCTCATCATAAGCCACCTGATCTTAAGAACATCACCATCTTTGGTTATATGCAATGTTTTTCTTCCAATCATAGGGAATAAGGTAGGACCTCATCAGAGAAACAAACGAGTGTTTCTAGGTGAGAGAGTGGGCAATGAACCTATATGGAATTTGGGATAACAAGGATTCTAAAATCTAAATATCACAGGCTTACTTTATGACAACATAGATTCTAACTGCATTTTTACTTGAATATTACCTATGAGAAGGGTCCTTCAGCTCCATGTTGGCAGTATCTCACAGCCAAGCACAAAGCAAGTGTTGATCATATTAGTCTCACACTATCAACATAACCCTTTAGTTGAGACAGAACACATCCTTCAATTTGGTCTCGCTAATAGTTTAAACTTTTAGCTGGGACGGAACACATCATTCAATTGTGTTGAAACCCTAGGCCTGTTAGGAGTGAGCCCATTAGGTTATAGCTTTCTCTGTATAAATACTTTAATCTGTACAGCACTAGTATGAGAAATAGATGAAACCTTTCATTCTTTCACATGGTATTAGAGCCTAAACCCTAAAATTCCAACTCCTTTTCCGGCGGCGGCGCTGCCAGACTGCTTCGTGTTGCCTCTAAGTTGCCTAAAAGAGAACATCCTAATAGATCTTGAGAAAGTTTCATTACCTTTAGGTAGTTGTCAAGATGGTTGCTGTTGGACCTTGGCTTCTAAACTAAAGGTGATCTAAGTTAAGGCTTACTCTCCCCTTTCAAGCAAAAAAATTAAGGGAAAATGTCTCAAAGGAGATGTCACAAAATCTCACATTACCTTTCAAGAGGTAATCCTATTAGTAATCTCACATTCCGTGAACCAAACGCCCCCCTGAGTATCTAAGATATTTGATAAAGAGTGAAGTCTTTTGAATGAATTTAATTTCCTTTTAGGGGGACCAATTGAGATCAACTTTCTAAATAGGGAAATGGAATCAGTAGGATGGGGTAGTATGACAATTCAATTAGCTCAAAAAGGTGATGTTTTAGTGAATCCATATATTGGCACAATGAACCATCAATTCTATTGTAAGCAAATTACTGTAAGAGCATAAAGTTCTTGCTGAAAAAGGATCTAATTTGACATATTCTAAACACAGAATATGGTGGTAAATCACTGATTATTCATAAATCATGTTCAATATTACCTCGCATAGTCCTGCAGAACATTTAGTTTGGGGAGAAAATCATATTTATCTCTCAGCAAGAATTACCAAAAAAAAAAAAAAAACAGACAATATTATAAATTTCAAATCCAAGAAGAAAATTGCCATTCCATTATATTGTAAATCTGCAGAGTTAGTAAACTATTCAAAAGCATGTGTACACTACAAGAAAAAGTTTCAACTTCTTGTTCTTAGTTAAGCATAGTTCAACATGATAAAGGGCATCATTAAAAGCCATTAAGAAAGTGAAGAATTTGAATTTTGACATGCCAGATTTATTGCATCAATAACAACCAAGGGGGTTTCTATTAGACTTAGCCAATAAAACTGCATTCTCCTATCAAAAGATAGCAGAATATCTGGCTGTATTTTCCTATGGACAATTTCACTCATAAGGCATGCATGCACATCTGTTTTAGCCAGTAGAATTGGAATGTGGATCTAATCCTCACCAGCTGGGTAAATTCCCTAATTGATCCACTTGCTTGTGATATTATAAAAGACAAAAAAAGGACTTTATCACAGAATTAATTATGAAAAGTTGGTCCTCTGATACTTTTAAGTTATTCCACCTCCACCTCAATCTTTTCCTCTTAGCCTTACTTCGTATTGTGGTTCTTGGAAGTGTAGAATCGCAACTGTGTTCCCTCCTGAAAAAAAATTAAAATATTATTGCAACTTGCCCCACTCCAACACCTTCTCTGCCAGCATATAAGGAGCTAGCATTGAACTCTCATTCCCATACCATCCCCTTGCCTTCAGTCCTTTTCTCTCGACTAAAGCCAGCTTTCTGCTTTCTGCTTTCTACACTTGCCTTTGCTCACCTCAATACTTCATATAAGCTCAAATTCTAATCGCTAATGGCCTCCTGGACAGCAAGACAAAACAAGAAGTTTGAAGAGGCTTTAGCCATATATGACCGGGAGACTCCTGACCGTTGGTATAATATTGCAAGAATGGTAGGAGGGAAATCGGCAGAAGAAGTGAGGAGGCATTATGAACTTCTTGTCAAGGATATAATGCAGATAGAAAACGATCAAGTGCCATTGCCAAATTACAGGGCTGCTGAAAGCAACGGCAGAGGATATGCTAATGAACAGAGGTAGTGTAATAAATCTCTGCTCCTTGCATTACAGCATTAAGGTCATCATGCATTTTGTTTAAGCATTTTATCATATCTGTGAAACTAAGAGATTCATATAGGATATTATGGCTAATCATTTCATTATATCAGTGAAACTAAAAGATTAATATTGGATATTATTTTAGGCTTGTAGAACATCCAATCAATCAATTAATACGAATCAACTGGCATCAGTGAAACAACTACAAATGCATCCATTCTAAATATTCAAACTCTCCATTTCTAGAATAGTCTTGCAAGGTTCTATTTTTAGTAGCGTAAGTTGTGGCCAGCTAAAGTAGTCAGTTTTAGCCCTTTACTATATAGATAATCTATATCCTTTTTTAAGACCAAACTGGAAAGTTCACTGCACATATGTCCTTAGTTTTCATGTTTAATCAAGTTCTATATTAATCTAATTGAGTTCCTTAAGTAACCACATGAAATCTAATCCTTGTTCTTTTAGATCACATGCAAAGTTCCCTATATCTTAATCTTAAGAGTCAGACAATCACTTGACAAAAATAAGGTTATTTAATTAAGTGTCAGACAACCACTAGGCAAAAATAAGGCTATTTAGTTAATCTTCCTGCCTCTCACATGATTCAGTAATATTATATACTCTACAGTCTACACAAATTCATTGATAACCCCCTTCAACAATTCCAAGACTCTAGACAAGAAACTTAACTCTGGGATAAATTATATGAAAAAATGAATGAATGAATAAAAATAATATTTTAGCAGCATTGGCACTTCTATAAAGGAATTCTCACAGAATCCTCAGGTTTCTGGCCAGTGTTCTTTTTTTAAAAGTCAATTGTGCTTTTCGTGATGAATGACCATTTAGACATCTACACGTAATAGCCACCTATGATTTTCACCTTTGGTTAGGAGTAGATTAATGAATTGATTGACTTGTCGCCCTTTTTAAGCTAAGGAGACACTAGCATTCAAACTTTGACCTGCTTTTAAGGAGATTTCAAGCTAAGTAGATAACTTGTGAATATGCTGTCTACTTTATCTATATTGGTTGTCTCGAAGAAGATAAGTAGACAAAATGCTCATCTCTACTTTGGTGGGCCAAGTCTGCACATAAATACAGACTTACAGAGTAGTATTCTACAATCAAACAAGACTCTTTTTTAACTACTAAGACCAAACGCTTTTCTTTCTTTTGCCAACAGGCTTCTGAGGAATCTGAGGCTTCAGTAAAGCTAACATGTGACAACTACTTAAGCGAGAAGATGTGTAAAAAGAAAAATTGCAGAACCGGGGCGTATGAATTCAACATCTCTACGCCTATATCTACTTAATCTCACCAATTTCTTACCGCTATTTTCACATGTAATACAGCTATTGTTCAGTTGTTTCTGCTTATTTTCTTGTTGTTCGCTGCCCTTAAGTGTCTAATATACTGTGTTTTTCATTGAATTGTTAGTTACGCTGCCCTAAAGCAACATTTGACGCACACAGGATTAAAATATGCGTGATTTATGAATTCTAACACCAGTTTCGTAACCTAAAAGCATCAAATCTGATTACAAATAGCATCCGTAGATATACTCCGTGTATTACTCAGTTACATTGAGAATGAATATTAATTAACTAAATGCAGAAACTATTGAAGCAATAATTTAGCGAAAAAGGAGAAAAATGAAAGGAAATGATGATTGATGCGGGATTAAAAAATGTGCAGCCATGAGCCGTGCATTTAATTACCTTGTGTTCATCCAGCCATCTGCATCCATGGGAGTAGAGAATATCGATACACTGAAAAACCTAGAATCGACAAGAGAAAAATGGGGAGAAATCTAGGAAAACAATACTCGTATTACGGAGTGATCCTCGACAGCAGAACGGGAGAATTACAGTCCGTTAGTTCCCCGTAAAAAAAATTGGAAATGCAGCAGCAGGAAATAAATACATCCCCATGCAGCCATGCTATAAGCAGTGAGTAAAACTCCCCAGTTTGGAATTAAGAATACAAAAATACTCCTTGCAACTTTTACTCTCATTAGAAATAGAAAATTAAGCCAGGCTTAGCTCAATACTTCAATGGACAGTATTTGGGAGAAGAGATCAAAATTTGAATCTTGGAGATGACAGTGTGAGAATTATGTCTAAAATAGACAGATTTATTATACGCTTCCACATTTGGCCCTGTCTAAAATAGAATTACTCTTTTTTTTCTTTTATATATATATATATATATATAAAAAGTTTCCTTTTTCTTATATATATATAAAAGGAATATTAATGCATGCCTAACCAAGCTTCATATATGTGTGTGTCTACTACGGAACCCGTGAAACAATATCATATAGGAGATAAATAAGAATCAATTTCAGCCTTACCTCTGTAAAAAAATTCGATGAATTTGATTAGATTTTAAAAAAATGCAACGATATTTTCGTAAATATGCAATCTTTAACAATTAAATATGCAAACTGGTAAATTTTATAAAATCAACAAATAAAAAAAATTAAATCTAAATCGTAAATATTAGACCTTAAATAGTAAAAAGTGAACCAATAAACCAAATAAAACAAAAAACTCAGTCATAAACTCTAAAATCGAAGTGCAAATTTAATACTAAATGAGTAAATGTACAAACTTGAAAAAGTCTGAGAATTACAAATTTTAGTATTCTAAGTTAATTGGTGATAATTACAAAAATGTCATCGCATTTTTTAAAAAATTTAATCTAATCCATCCTACTTTTCCAAATATAATACTGAGATTAATTTTTATTTCTCTTGTAAGAACTTGTTCTTATTTGATCCAATACAACATATATATATATATATATATATATATATATATATATATAGAGTAATAATCAAATGAGAGTATGAGACCCCCACCTTTTCCCGTGTAGTAGCTTGTGTATATTTACAAAGGGTCTACAGAAACAGGTGAGAATGCCCTTGAATATTAGTCTATATATATATTCGAATTTCCAATCAAGTTTCATTACATAAGTCAAATCAACATTTTTTTTTTAATGTTAGGATTCGATTTGAGTGGGTGAGTTTAAAATTAGCTTGATAAACACCTACAATAACCATAAAGTATAAATGGAACCGAACGTAATAATGCAATATGTTTGACAAAATTATACCATTCGCAATGACATTAAAGATAAAAAGAATATTACAAAGGCAAAGGTGGAAACAGCTCTTCCTATAAATCCACTGTACTAAACCATGCAACTATGCAAGTAAAGGGTGTGAATATGATGCAGGGAACAACAGCATTCATATATTAAAAAAAAATAATAATAATAATAATAAGGGCAATTGTTGTGCTGCTTTTAGCAGAAAGGAAAGAAGAAAACAATGGAGTTACAACAGGGTGGAGACTGGAGAGAGTCCAGATACTTGAGCTTCTTCACCTGACAAAAATGGAAGTTTCTTTCATGGCTTCACCACCTTAATTCTCCAGAACTCTTCGACGTTCCATGGTGAGATTTACATGGTCCATGGGGGTAGAAGACGATATAAAAGCTACACCCGAATTTCAGTCATTGTCCCCAAGCACATGCCCTGTAGTCAAAACACACTGCAAGATTGGTAAAAGAATAGCAGCATGCTGTGTAATGTATAACAAGAAGTGGAAAGCGTGAACAGAGACCATATAAAATAGCATCAAGGGGCGTGCGGGGAAGGGAAGAAGCTACCAGAAATGTGATGCTGACTGTGATGACACATGGATCTGCCAAAGCTGACAGATACATTGAAGTAAAGGTTAAGTTTATGTTCTTACTATTTTATTATTTGATACATAATATTCTCTCAGTTTTTTTTACGGGGATTGGCCAATTCATATAACTAAGGCAGGCAGCTATCTGCGCCAATCCCCTCAGCACATATTCAGAGAGTTTCTCTAATGGCTAACTTCATTATAGTATGGATATAAACAACAGTGTATATCTATATCTAAACCCTCATACACATGAGATGTGTGTCTCCCAGCTTAACATATAACATCTATGTACGGGTCTCAAGCTAACGTCTAAATTATAAAGAATACTCAAACTCTCGTTGTACTTCCATTGGACAGCAGAGAGAGTAACACAATGTAATATTCATGTTCATCTCTCTTATTCCGCTTTTGATCAGAGTGTACACTATGCTTGGTCCTTTGCAGAACACCCCACCATACAAAGAAACATTTCTAATACGTATAATTTCAAGCAAACCGAATATTCAGGCATCAAATTTGGTTTATTTTACATTGCTATCAGGCCTTGCAACTATTGGAGAACCAACTCAACCTATTTAGGTTCTGATGTACTTGTGCACTCTTAACTCAAACACTTATAAATACTTGCTACTCTACTCCTAGCTTCTAAAAGAAAACATACTTTTACAAGTTAGTGAAAGTTTGTTGCAAAAGGTGTTCAAAGTCAGGCATCTACTTCCCGCTCTCATTGTTGATGCAATAAGATGCGAGAGGAGCCACAGATTTAACAAAGAATGAAGTCTCTAAACAATTTTAAAAAATTCTAAAACACTAAACCAATTGATTAGTAGGCTTCCAGCGGAAGTCCAAGCACAATCTATTTAGATAATTAGATCGAATAACAACAAAATTCTACCCCATTTAAACAAAGCACCCACGCTGACAAATTGATTACCACGGAAGAATTATCCAAACACAGCCTAAAAAAGAACAAGCAAGCTTGGAAACAAGATTTTGGCATCTAAATATCTAATAATGCCCAATAAGATCTTCTAGCTGATTTCTAGCACAAAGACGTTGAAATATGAGGATTGCATAAAGATCCTCTCCATGTTAGGAATTCCATTGAAACTACAAGGTAATTGATTCATTTTGAGTAGAATCTTATTTAACCAAAATTGCCAACAAAACCCACCAAGGTTAACACAGCAATCCCTGTCTCCAGGATTGGAACTTACATGACATCCTCATAATGAAAATGGGATAAGAGAGAGATCGGGATTTTAAGTCTTCATATAAAACTCAAGGGCTGCCCAGTTTAAAATCTAGAAGCCAAGCGAGTGTGTAAACATCAAGCATTATATTCAATTTTTGTAATAAAAAGGCAACAGCTTTAGTATCTACCATAAGAAAATTTAAGCACAAACAACTGAACAAGTATAGCAAAGAAGGCGGATGGGCCTAATTCTATCACTAACCTCCAATTATGTAATACAAGAAGAAAATGGATACTACCGAGAGAAATGGCCCAATAACTGCTGATGTAGATGGCATCAAAGTAAGGTTCATTCAAAACTAGAAGGGACTGGAAAAAAATACCCCAGATTCATAATCCCATTCATAGGATCCAAGAACTGCTGATGAAGTTGATGCTGTTGTTCTTGCTGTTGCTGCTGCAAACTGGCATCCAAATCCGTTACCACAACATTGGTGTTTGAATTTGTGTTCTTGGCCTCCACAAATCTCCAAATGTACCATGCCGCCACTGACCTATACGGCCGCCATTTTTCACACAACTGATCCATCTGCGACGGCCTGGGTAAATCCTCTAGCTCGTTTATCATCTGCACGCCTTTCCTTATCCCGAGATCGTGAATCGGCAAAACGTCCGGTCTGTGCAGGGAGAAGATCATGAACATGTGGACTGACCAGGATCCGATCCCATTGACCATTGTGAGCATAGTGAACAAGGATTTGTCGTCCATTTCTACAATGGACTTATCCGATAAAATCGCGGTCTGGTATTTCCTAGCTAGATCGTGTAGATAGCTGGCCTTGCGAGCCGAGATGCCGATTTGGCGGAGCTGTTGGGGGGTTAAGCTGAAAACGACGTCGGGGAGGACGTTCGATTCTCCGCCGCATAGGGAGATGAAGCGAGTGTAGATTGAGGTTCCGGCTTTGAAGGCGAGTTGCTGGAAGAGAATGTTTTTGGTTAGGGCGAGGAATGGGGGCAGGAAGGGCTCGAGAGATGGGGGCGGGTGGAGGTCAATAAGCGGGGCGAGTCTAGGGTCCGAGGATCGGAGGTGGAGAATGGCGGCCTCCAGCTCGCCGTGGCAGGAGAGTGACCGCGCGACTATTCTAGGCACTAGACCGGAGCTCTGCGCCGCCGCCGCCGCCGCCGCTACCGGGGAGAGCTTCCGGATTTTGCGGGGCCTGGAAGGGAGCTTAGTGGCCGGTGACGCTTTTTGCTGCGGTGCGTCGGTAATGGAAGTCGGAGAAACGGCGGCGGCGGTGTCGGCGACGGAGACAGTGGCGTCGTTGATGTGCTCATATTGTGGTTCGGTTTTGGGGTGGGATTCATCTGCCATGGCTGATGTTCAGTAAGGAATCGAGTGTTAGCTCCCAGTGGTCATCCAATTGCCGGAAACGGGAAACCCCCAAGTCTGCAGCCGTTCGCGGCCGCGAGGTGGTGGTTGAGCGAGTGGCGGAAGAAATGGTGGGGCGGAGTGCGGGTTGGCACTGTAAACTGCGATTATTAATAAGTAGTTTTACTGTTTTAGTTTACCCTACTGTAAAGTGTGAAAAATTAAAAAAAAAATACCGGGGAGACAATTATACGGCAATTATGGGCCTCTTTGCCAGGCCCAAATTTTCAATTATACAATCACACTAGGCCTTAATCTATCTGGACAAAATGGGCCGATTTTAGTATTATTATTATTAACGAGGGAAATAAAACAAGAGACATTCTTACATAAATCTAAGGGTGTTAATGTGGGTCGGTCCGCCCTACCGTGAGCTAGAATTATGCAATTCTAAGTGTCCTTAATTCGCCTCATGCGAGTTATCGGGGGCCCGCGGACCTAACTTAAAAAATAAATAAAATATTATATTATTATTTTATATTCAAATAATTTAACCTAAATACTATTACATTTTTTCGTGTTTAAAAATTACAAAATTTACCATCTTTTTTTTTAGATTTTAATGTTATATATATAAGGAAAAGCTCGCATAGTCTTGCGAGACCCTCATTTTTGCAAGTCAAAAATTCTAGGTCCTAACTCATTCCATCGCAGGGCGGTCTAGGATTGGCCCGTGAGCTTCGACCTACCTTGACACCCCTACATAAATCACGGCCAAGCAATCACATCAATCAACTATAAGGAGATTGTGAAGGCAGAACGAATAAAATCAAACCAAATTAGTATGCTTGGAATTTTGCTTGAACCAATCAATCCGTGTAGAGAAAATGTTCAAATAAATCCTCCAACTAGGTAACTATATAGCAAAATGCAATTAGATCTTCAAACTACAAAAATTCCTAATTGAATTCTTAAACTTGTTAAAATCATGCAATATCCCGTTTTGACCTATAATAATCTCTTACCCCTAAGCCACTCGCTGCATAAGATATCACGTAGAGTATTATTATTATTTTTTTTAAGTATTAAAAAAACTATTAAAAAAAACAAATCAAATTAATTATTTTTATATTTTAAAAAATAAACCAGCAACAATGACAATGATGACGACGTGTCATAGTAGTCGTTCAAGGTAACTACAGATAAGACATCTTCTCTGTTCATATCGACATAGATGAAGAAGCTTGGTGGGCTTCTCCGTCCGATTTGAAGGGAGAAGTCTGTCGACTTCTTTGTTGTTGGCAACATTTTTTAAAAATGTAAGTTTAAAAAAAAAAAATTAAAATGTCATGTAAGTAAAATTAATCAGTTATCTTTTGGTAACCTGTTAATTATATAATTTTTAAAAGTTTGAAGGTTCAATTGAATAGTTTTTAGTTCATTGGTTTAACTACATTATCATATATGATTAGAGACTTTATTTAAATTTATCCCAGCACATATATTTCCTAACGTTAACTTTCTCATTCGAATTAAATCAATAATTCATACGTTAATTATGTTTTGCGACAAAAATCTACACCCAAAGTGTCCCATGACTCTCATCATTACACCATACCACAAACCTTCCTATGTGGACCTAATGTTGTATAACTTGTATCCATCTATATATGATAAGGACATGGAATGGAATGTTAGACAACACGTACATTAGCTGGATGGAGAGATGTGAACCTTAATACATTAGGTTCACCGTACCGTTGTATGATAGACTAGATAGAAATATAAACCTCAATAGACCAGGGTTCATTGTATGTATGATAAACTTTATATATATTATATTATTATGTGCATATAATGAATATAGTATATATTTGTAGTTAACAAATTATATACTCGTTACAATTAATATATTATATATTTTAAATTTATTTATAAATTACAGGTATATAATTTGTTAAATACAAATATATAATAGTTTAATTATAGATACATAATTGAAATATCGTTTTGAATTCGAGACACATTATACTTTGCATGTTAACCCTATTCCACTCTATATCTAATTAAATAATTTAATCAATCAATTAAATTAATTAAGTATATCATGTTGGTCATAACTGGTCATTAGGTGGGCGGACGTGGGCCCACAACAAAATTTCTCAATTAATAATTAAAGGAGTCCAAAATAATCAAATTATAAGATAAACACAAGATTGGCATTTTGGCCTGTTATGGATAAGCTTTTGCGACCATATATGTGTTTATGACCATATCCATGATTTATCCAATTTTAATATAGAAAACATATTATTTTCTTTTTTCTTTATTTTTTATTTTTTTTTTTGTCACGAACTCGCAATCACTAATCAAATAATATGCACAGAGTATTAGGACTCTATGTATTTGAGTTAGATTATAAGTCCTTATCTCAGTCTCACTGAGCCTCTCTCTTTATATATACTTATAATATGTACATTTGTAATTACATTACTTGAACATTTATCTTATACAATAATATACAAATCACACAATATAGATAACTCGCACTAAGAAAATCATGTACATCATACTTGATATATTTTTGTATTTTTCGTCCTTAGTGGACATCAACTCATCAAGTAATTGGTATGTTTAAAACATCATTTTTCATGTGATTTTGTTTGGATTATACATAATATAATAATAAATATATAATTGGTGGGAATAATGGCTACGTATCAAAAGGACAGCTTATGATATTTAGTATTTTAGTTACAATGGCTTTCAAGCTCCAGCTAATATCCTACCGAATCAGACCCCAGAGTGAATTCATTTTCATTCATGTTACCAACCACTAAATATATATAAAGTTTGAAAAAAAAACACATAATAATACTAATGAAGGTAGTTATAGGTTGTATGTTGTCTGTTTTATTTGCAACATTCATATCTAAGACTTAAACAAATTGAATTCATTTTATTTGAATCACAATTTGTTGGTTCACATTAAAATTTGTTTAATTTTTAGAACCAAATATCACGTGTTCTATTGCGTTGTTCCAATGTACCATATACAATATGTCATTTATGTTTATACTCAATGAAATTATACTATTTTCATTTTACGGTTACTCATGCAATCATGCGTGAGATGCATATTCTAGGGTAGTCCGTTGTTTTATTTGCAAAATTTAAATATGAGTCTGAGTTTATTTAAAAAAAAAAAACAATAGAATAAATCACCAAATTATATATGGAAAGTATGTTTGAACAGATATTAGATTATAATAGAGTCAGTAGCACTAAAAAAATGTTAAAAGATTTAATTTTTTTTTTCTTGTATATTGTTTGAATGTGTATTTGACTCTTGTTTTAAGGGGAAAAAGAGTGATTCATTTATTTGAATCACGAATTATTGATTCACCTTAAAATTATTTTATTTTGGAACCAAATATCACATGTTCTGTTGCATATTACCAATGCACCATACTGTATGCATGCTGTGTATTCTATTCAATGAAATTAAACATTTTTCATTTTACAATTGTTTTTACGTGAGATAATAATATATTCTAAAATTTCACAAAAAAAGATACATAAATTTCTTGATAGAATAAGATAAACAACCTTACAAAGTATACATATAGAATGAGTTCAAGACAACATATATTCGATGGTATTACAATCGCACTAAAGTCATGTTTGGTAACATAGTTACCTTATCATTCAATTTTGACTTATTTGATCATTATTAGCTGTTTGACTTAGTTAAACAATCAATATGAGTGCTTGATTAATTAGTTTTTTGTAACATTTTATTGCTCCAAAATTTTAAAATTCAAAAAGCTGTTCAAAGTAACTTTTTTGATAAGTTTTTTGAGAAATTAATTTTGCATGTAGCTATCAACTAACAACTAATACCAATATTTTTCTATAATCAATTAATGCTATTAACTAGTAAAACACACTAACTCAATCAGTTAACACCTATTTACCAAACACCTATCTCTTAAATATAAGAATGTCAGAATAGTTGATAATTAAAATTAACTCTTCTAAGTTAAGGATTTGAGTTCAAAAAAAAAAGTTATAAAATTTGAGAGATGTCATCATGATAATTGGCGTTACATGTTTATTTTTGTACAATAATGATTTATTTTAAAAAATATTAAAAATCCATTTTTAGATATTCAGTAATATAATCATTGTCCTAATATATTTATCCATATTGGAATTACAATGTGGGCCATGGTTTGCCCATAGGATTCACCAGAGTCTTGAAAAGGCTGAGCTGCCAACCACAAGGGAAAACTGATAACTACTTCCTCGTGAATATAATCTCGAAATCGCACGTTAAACATATGAACACTTCTCCGTTTACTGCCATGCCAGATAGGCCGTAACTCCGATACCCATCATCATCCTACTCGGCTACTCATCATCTTCACCTATATCTACGTCTCTCACCGACCCATCAAGCAATCTTGAAGTTGAGAAGTGGGTATCGGTTGAATTCAAAGCTATTGACCTTTTTGGCTCTTCGATCTCGGCTGGGAGTTCAAGAATTGCAGAAAGGGGGAAAGGGCAACAAGAATGAGTTTCCGGGAAGAGACTGATGATGGGAGAGGGGATCTGAGGAAGCCATTTCTGCACACTGGGAGCTGGTACCGTATGGGCTCCAGGCAATCGAGTTTGATGAGTTCTTCTCAGGTCATCAGAGACAGTTCTGTGTCAGTTCTGGCTTGTGTTCTCATCGTTGCTTTGGGTCCTATCCAGTTTGGTTTCACCGTATAACCCTTCTTTCTCTCTATCTATTTCTATCATTCTAATTCAGTTCTGCTTTGACTTGCTTGGAATACCTGTTTGATTGCTCGAGTCAATAGTAGAACAGTGAAGTCTAATCAAAATTAACTTATAAAGGTGAGGTCTTGCTGTTAAAAGATTTGGGGTTTTGCTTCGAGATTGAAGTTTTGATGGAGTTATCAGGATAATGTGTGTAATTCTTGAGACCTAAATCTGGGTTAATGCTAAAAGGGATAAATATAAATTGAGTTTATAATGATTGCAATTTTGCTTGTATGTATGCTTTGTTTTGATAGTTGATAACTTGGCTTGTTTGCTTGTTTGAAGGCTGGATACTCATCCCCTACACAAGGTGCAATTACTGAAGATCTCAAGCTTACTGTATCTGAGGTCTGAAAGAGTCATCCTTGCTTT